CAGCCTGCATGGTTCCAGGCCGGAACCTGCAGATCCACTGCCGGGGGAGGGGCGCCCTCTGGATCCAGCGCTGTAGAATCACACGGTATCCGCTGGAGTGGGGTCGCACACCCGCCTTCCGCTGGAGTTCTCGCTGGTGCCATTTCACCACACATGAGAGGTGCGAGGAGAGGAGGGACATGTCCTTTTGGAAACTGGTTTGTAGATGAAGTGAGGCAGCTGAAGACTATGGGGAATCCAGGGAAATAAACGAGAACAACTTCAGCTCAACTTGACAGATGCTTTCCGGCGTCCTCTGCCTGCCCAGCGTTGTCCTGAATGCAGTGAGGCACAGGGTGTTGGAGGGAGCGATCCGTCCAGGCAGATAAGACTAACACGCAAGACATGCTGTGAATCCCTGAAACTGCTGCACCTCATAATACAGCACATGCCGGGATCTGTGACCCGCACACCTAGACTCGTTTAGGAGTGAAGGATTGCTACCAACCCTGATGCTCCAGGCTTGGCTGGAGTGCTATACAGCTCTGAGTGAGGACAGCTAGATTTCAAATAAGAATTGTTGGTTCAGTCTGGATTTCCCGGAGAGCACAGCCCACAGCAGACTGGCGTGTTAACACTGTGTTAAGGTGTACAGACTCAGGAGCCAGAGAGGGGAGCAAGGGGACAGAGGCAAGGACGGAGGCAGAGCCATTCAGAAGATGTGTTTATCAACTGGGCACGGCCATGTGGGACTGGCTGCTCGGTCCAAAGGACTGCACCCTGGAGAAGCCCTGATAACCAGGCCTGGGACCCCCAGGGTAGTGGTGGTGGTGGAGGAAGGGCTTCTGTCTCCCACCGCAGAGAGTTTGGCCCTATGTTGCACTGATGCCCCGGCTCTGGCGTAGGTGCTGAGCAGAGCTCTCCCTGTGTCAGAAGGGGAACCCTGGAGGGGGAGGTCTGATGCACTCCTGTGGAGTTGGCCCACACCCACTGGCAGCTGCCGTAAGAGGCAGGTAAGGCTGAGAGGATCTGAAGAGAGAATAAAAAAAAATCTCATATACCCATTACCCTCGACTGCATGCTAATCACTGTCTTACCACCAGATCTCTCTGCAGTCAAATGCCCTACCACTGGGATATACCCCTGTGCCCAGATCTCCTCTCCGAGCCCCTGGGTCCTGGCATCATGTGGGGCACACAGCAGGCCCACACACCACATTTTTGTTGAATAAATCAATGAGAGTGGGATGAATTTTGTTGAGTGAATGAATAAATGTTCACAGAGCCCTGAAACTGCTTATTACCTGTAGCTTCCTCCTCCTCCCCCCATCCCCCACCCCATTTGTCACCTGTCACCATGTCCCAGGGGTGGGGGCTCTGTCTGTGTCCCCTCTTTTCATCCCTAGACCAGAAGGTAGCCTCCTTGGTCTTCCCTCTGCAGACCACTGCGTGCTGCTTCCTTTAGTCAAGCCGGAGAACCCCGCGGATCACCCCTCTCCCCAGAGGTCCAAAGGAACTCAATAGCCCCTTACCACTTAGAGTGAAAGGCACACTTTCAAGAATCCTCCTACCCCACGGTCTCATCTCCCCCTCGGCATTCCCCTCAGGGCTCCTCCCAGCTTCTGGAACAAACCATGCTATTTCTTCCCACTAGCAAGTCTTCTCTCTCGACACAATAAAATCATATTCATCTTTCACAGCCGGTTTCAAGTGGCACCTCCTCTTTGAAGCTTTTCCTGAGCTTTCCGTCTCCCGTGGTCCCCTCCTTGCTCTGAGACCAGCCCCACCGCGTATCTCCCGCTGCCCATCCTGAGCTCCTGCATCCTGAGATCCTCCATCCATCCCGAGCTCCTCCCTCCATCCTGAGCTCCTCCATCCTGAGCTCCTCCCTCCATCCTAAGCTCCTCCCACCATCCTGAACTCCTCCATCCCGAGCTCCTCCCTCCATCCTGAGCTGCTCCATCTGGAGCTCCTCCATCCCGAGCTCCTCCCTCCATCCTGAGCTGCTCCATCTGGAGCTCCTCCATCCCGAGCTCCTCCCTCCATCCTGAGCTCCTACATCCTGAGCTCCTCCATTCTGGGCTCCTGCCTGCTGCTCTGGCATCATGCTCCTCCCCTCAGAGGTCTGAGCCTCTGGGGACAGGCTTCTCTCCTACCGATTTCCTTCTAAACCACCCAGACAGCGCCCGGCCCATGGCCCTGTCCTGACGTGGAGCGGGCACCCTCCAAACCCACCGCCCTGAGGGTGTGCAAGAGCTGGTGGGTGCGGGAAGTGACTTCCCCGCTCCTGCCGCCGCTCAGCCACTTCCAGACGTGCAGCTGGCGCACCACTGCCGCTGCGCAGGCGGCAGCCCGGACCCTGGGGCGGGGGCCTCCTGCTAATCTGATTCCATTTAAGGGTGGCCGTCAGAGCCCAAACAAAGAAAAATGTTCCCAGGCATGAGAACCGCGGAAGCGAGGAGAAGCCGCCCTGGCAGCCACCCCAGGGGAACACCAAATTTAGCCCAAAGGTTGAATATAAACATAATTTAAATTTTTTAATTACAAAAATAACATGGTAACATTAAGATTGTTTAGAAAACAAGGAGATTTAAAGCCCAGATCCGCCAGATGGGCACAACGGGCTTTACTTTGGTTTGTTCCCTTCAGGTCTCTGTTCTTACAAACCCCGGCTTGACGCGCTGTAGTTGGGGTGCACACACAACGCTGTACCTCGCCTGTTCACCCAAGGACATGTGACAAGCACTTGCGTGAAGCACCTGGAGAGAGGAATGAGAGTCTGGACCCCGTCTACCACCTCCTAGCTGGGAAGGAGCACCCCGAAGGGTGCTCGCCGCGCTGCTACCCCGCTCACCTCTTCAGTGGGGACCGTTTCGAGGGGAAGGAAGAGAAGTGGGAGCAGATACAGGAGGTTGAAATCTCACCAGGAAGTAAGTCCCTTGGCTTTGCGGCCTTGGTGCCATAGAAGATGCTAAATGTTAATAGTTGTGTTTATAAAATCATGAGATTCGCCACTGTTTTCCAAGGACCCCCCCCCAAAAAAAGATCCCAGATGCTTTTTCCAGCTGGACCCCTCAGGCACCTCTGGGCTGAGCCCCTTACCCCTGGCCAGATGCCAGGTGCCAGGGCCACCCCTGAATCTCAACACCGGTCACAAAAGGTGTTCAGTGGTCTCTCTGCAAGCCTCCTTTAAGAGGGCCTTCCTGTCCTGCATCCTGATAAACAGGACCAACTGGTGGTTCAGATAATACTTCTGTTTCTTCCCAGCCTTTGTTTCTTCCCCTAGGAAATGGCACCCATTTGCTGGTGAAGGACTGGGTGGTTCCTGGACCCTTTGTTGGGAGACAAAAATCATTTTTCCTCTTCCCAAGAGATATGATCCGAATCAAAGAGGCCAGTGAGAAGCTGCCCGCTGTCAGGGAACCTCAGAACTCAGCTTCCGTGTCTGTACAATGGGGATGCACCGCGTGGGAGGCCTCACCCACGAGGTCTTCACTCCTCTGAAAATGTAGCCCCTCTAAGACCCAGGTCCGGTCTCTCCCCTTCTGTGTAGTTTTCCCATATGTGTCCTTCCCGGAGCTTTATCGTTCTTAGAATGGATAATCAATGAGCTCCCATTTAATTCTACTCTAATTGTTTCCTCTGTGTGGGTTAGTGTGATCATCTTAGGTAGACCGTGAGCGTCGTGAGGGGAAGTGTTGGAATCATCCCTCAACATCCCAGGTTTTCAAATACTGTGTATTCAACATAATAACAAAAATAATGGAGATAATGAAAACACTTATCGGGCAATGGTGGGCTGCCATTTCCCAGGCACTCCACCGAGCTCTTTGTGAACAGTATTTCATTTAACCGCCTGTGAGGCAGGCATGTCTGGGTTCAATTTACAAATAAGGAAACCGAGCTTCGGAGGTCACGTGGCTTGCTGGGGTCCGGCTGTAAGTCAGCACCTGGGATCTTCACCCTTGCACGTTGAGCCAGAGCTCTTTGCACCGCTGACTGACTGACGGCAGGGCTCCCCCACCCCCAGCTCCGTCATCCTTCTCAGTAGCCACAGCTTGAAAGGAACACAAAGGAGAGAGAAATGTAGGGCCTGACTTTATTAGACAAACCACACATGTTATTTCCTTTTCCCTTCCTGAAAGCCCCCTCATCAAGGTCTGACCTCAGAGAATTTCCAATCCAGAACACTCATTTCACAAAACAAATGCACTTCAGAGATGGAAGGAGAGTCTTCTTTGTTTCGTTTTGGAGAGAGAGTCTTAATGCCAGTGCCAGACAGTAGATTAAAAGGTGTCCCCTCCAGGGACCTGGGATGACCAGTTCTTCCCTAAATGGCTTCTGAGTCGGTTTCCTCCAGCTGTCTACCCTCCCCCTTCTCTCCACCCACCAGTATCATCCAAGTATCAGCGGAGGGGCCCGGAGATGGACACGTGGGGCAGAGGCTGAGCCTCCTATGAGCCTTCAACCCTCTCTGCCCCGACCTCTCATGCCTACCTGTTTAGGTTGATGGCACTGAAAACAGTGAGGCTCGGCCCCTCTGCCAGGCATCTGGAGGAAAAGGCAGGAGGACACAAGTGTCCCTAAGGTATCTTGTCCTCATTTCAGGACCCCCTCCCCTCCACCCACCTCATCAGCGTACATATACATCCACAAACACACACGTGCATTTTAAAAAGCAATCATCTCCCTGTAAGCGTCAGCACCCAGTTCTGATCATCCTTCACCTTCAACCAAATTGGCAAGCACCCGGTATGGACGCACTGCATAGAGAAGCCAGGCCAGCCCCCGGCAAGGCAGGGCTTTCTGCTGTCCCCACTGCTCTTCGCAGTGTCTTGAGGAGCACCAGGGAGACATAGGAGTCCCTCTGCTCTTGCACAAGCGCCCTGCCAAGAGAGCTGGAGATTCCCTGCTGCCTCCCCCAGGGAAGGAGAGATCTGGGGCCTCCATAGTTGTCATCACACTTCCTCTTGGCACTCTAAGCTGGCAGACAGCACAGGAATAAATAGGAAGGAAAAAGCATTTTCCAGTATTTTCTCTTCTTTTTTATTTTTATCTTCACAGCAGAATTATTTTTTCCCAAGGGGAATCTGAGAAGCACAATGCCCTCTTTGTTTTAATAAGAACTGGGAACATTCCACTGGCCTCCACGGCTGGTGATCTGGTCAGATTCTGAGAGAGGGCAACAGCTTCTTGGGCATTCTGGTCAATAAGATTTTTAGGGGAGCGTTGGATGAACAGCCAAGGGAAGAAGGCAAGGGATGGTTTCTGTCAGCAGGTTGAACTGTAACAGAGCTGCAGGATGGCATGTGGTGGCAGGAATTCCAGTGGAGTCGTGTGCACAGTGACCTCCCAGGGGAGTTTTTCACCCCCCGTGGGCTGGCTGTACACCCTGGCAGAAGGAAAGGCTTCAGATTCACCAAGGTGAGAAGTTTGCCAGAGGAAGATACCAAGGCACTTGTAAAGTTGAGGCTGCTGGTCAAGTTCAAGGACCTCTTTTTAAGTAAGACTGGGTAGAGGTAAGAGCAGCCAGTGGTGACCTCACCACCAAGCCAAGGCATGGTCCTGGGAGACAACAGATTCAAGAGCATTTCTAATGCAAGTTCCTTGATTCTTACTCCCATTGGCTGGGAACTTTGGGCTCTTTCATTGCAGGAGGAAGGGTGACCAGGCCAAGGAAGCCACAGGGACTTGGAGAGCCCATCTGGTCTGGGGCTGCTATGTAGGGAGTCACCCTGTTCCTCTGGATGTCCCTCCCAAGCCAGAATTGCCACGGTCCCCTTCCCTTCCTCCATCCCATTCACTGAGTCACCTGAAAGGCTTCACTGAGTGTACTGGGAAGAGGATGGGGAAAGGACAGCAACCTGAGTGTGTAGCCACGTCTCTGACTGACCTCGCAAAGCCCTGGTCATACCTTCTGGAATAAATGAGCAATGCCATTGAGACCCAGGGCCCAGAAGGAGCAGAGCAGTGATGAGAATGGGAGAGCTGGGGTCAGAAGGGACACATCTTCCCTCTCTGAGCCTCCTTTGTTCCCAGCTGGTCCTGGTCCCCCCACCCTGGATGGTCACACTGATAGGTCATCTGACCTGGCCTTGCTGCTGGCCTTGCTGAGACGGCGTTTGTCACTCTGGTAGCCATGGGGGAGGCGATGCCCTGGGGAGCCTCCGTTGGGTACCTCAGGCTTCTGGGCATATTGGATGTGAATGAAACCTTCTCCAGGGATCTGCTCCTGGCCTCGCACCTGCTCGGTGGCCAGGTTATCTGTGTTCTGCTGGGAGGCCATCTTGTTACTGAATGGACTGAAAAATTTCCCCCCTGGGCCATTCTCCAGGCACTGATTGAAGTCAGGGGGTGGCGTGCAGCTCTGGACCATGCCGGCAGCAGGGCCGGGAAGCTGGCACTCAGCCATGCCCTGCCGGGACTTGACAAACTGCTGTCTGATCTTTTTCCAGCCCAAGTGGTAGAGTTCAGCAAGGCTGAGAAAAGGGACAGTCCGGCCACAGCCAGCATAAAGACGATGAAGACGTTCTTCTCTGTGGGTCGGGACACATAACAGTTGACGGGATGGGGGCAGGGACTCCTGCGGCAGACATGCAGAGTGTCCAGGAAGATCCCGTAGAGGAGGTACTGGCCCACAATGAAGGCCACCTCCATGGTGGTGCGGATCAGGATGCTGCAGACATAGGTGTTGAGCAGGGTTCCCTGGAGGACGATCCTTCCATTCACTTCTTCCCAGCAGGACAGCTCTGTCTTCTCGGCCACTGGGTACTGGTAAGAGCCGGCGCCCGGAACCTCCTTGGCCCTCTCGGCCTCACGTAGCTTCCGCTTCTCCTGCACGCGCACCGTGTGCATGGCGTGGCCCATGTACACCAGGGACGGCGTGGACACGAAGATGATCTGCAGCACCCAGTAGCGGATGTGCGAGATGGGGAAGGCTTGGTCGTAGCAGACGTTCTCGCAGCCGGGCTGAATCGTGTCACACTGGAAATCAGCCTGCTCGTCCCCCCAGGATGACTCGGCAGCCGTGCCCAGCACCAGCATGCGGAAAATGAAGAGGACGGTGAGCCATACCTTGCCGATCACTGTGGAGTGCTTGTGCACTTCCTCCAGGAACTCGCCCAGGAAGCTCCAGTCACCCATCTTGGCCCAGGAGAAGACAGACACCAAGACTCCTGCAAAGGGGGCAGAGAGAAAGAAAAACAGAGGAATGCTTCTGCAGAAGTCTGGAAAATCCAGTCGTACTCTGTAATTCCACCGATCCTGACCAATGTGTTCTTTAAGAAAGCACAGCTTAGAATTCAGACTCACTTAAAAAGCTCTCTGCCTCCTCCCCGACCCCCAGCAAAAATAAAAAGGAAAGACTCAAAGTAGTCATGTCAGCAAGATTAGAGCGTAGTTCCTTCACTTTAGCGGATCTAGACACCAGCTGAGGTGTGTGTGACAGTGGGGACTGTGTGCTGCTACCTGCAGAGACTCTGCTTCGGAGGTCTGGGATGGCCCCCCGGAATCTGGATTTGCTGCAAGCAGCCTGGGCTATTCTGATGCAGGAGGTCCAAGAACCACACCCGAGAAACACTGGAGAATCGGAAAGAGCACAGGATGGGGAGTCTGCAAATGCGACTCTGGACATTTACCCCACCGAGTCTGTTTCCTTGTCTGTAAAATGGGGGTGGAATAGCTACACCAGAGGATTCTGAGGGTTCTAGGAGACGAGGTATGCGAGATGCTGAAAATCACAGCTTGTATGTTCTGTATGTTTGAACGGCTGTCAGGTGGCAGAATTAGGTGGAGGAGTTAAAATGAGGGTGGGAGCGGCAGGTCTGGTCCCTCGGGAAGCATTTTCTACCAGTCAGAACCATCCAGCACGGACCAGCTCTGCTGGGAGGTGGCAGATAGAAATACACTTGGTCACCCCAGCTACAGGAAGGCAGGGGAGCTCAGGCTCCCCAGCGGGTAAGCAGCTGGCAGCGCCGAGCAGCACCTCGTGGCGGTGCAGCCGTGGCAGCCTGCAGCTCACCGGCCCTGCGTACGGGAGGCACCCGTGCACCAACCTGCTCCCCTCACATCCAGGATACATGCTCCAAACCTTTAAGGCCCATACAGAAACTTCCCTCATCAGGTCCTTGCACGCGTCTGGCCTCGTTCCCTGCCTGTCCCCACTAGTTCTGTCCAGCCACGCCAAGTTTCAGAAGATCCCAAATGCCCTCCTCCCGGCCACCCCCTCCATGCTCCCTCACCCCTCACTGAATCTTATTTACCCCTCAAAACTGAACCCAGCCATTGCTTCTCCGGCCCTCCCTGCTTCCTCAAACTGAGTGTCTTCAGCTCTGTGGTGGCCCTGGGGACACTCAGTCCTCTCCTAGCTCTTGCCTGCCTTGTTTTGTGATCCTCTGCCTATCGGTGTCCTTCCAGTTGGAGCTCCTTAGGAACAGGGACTGTCTTGTCCTCTGCACTGTTGTCATCTGGCCCAAAGAGGGTGCTTAGTAAGCCTTAGCTGAGTGAATGAAGGAGGGGATCGCGGGCACTGGTGTTCCCTGTCTGGTGGCAAGCCAACCCCTTGTTCCTTGCCTGCGTCCCAGTAGCAGGGTGAGAAGGCACCTGTCGCTTTCTCAGCCTGCACTGCAGGTAGTTCTGGTCTGTGAGGTGCGGAGAGGAGTCTAATTTGGAAGGGGTGTTCTAGACAATATTTTTCTGCCCCCAGTCAACAGAGGGAACCTCACTTAAAGTCCTCTTCACCCCATGACTTCCTGCCTCTGGACAGAAGTGATGAGCCAAGGTGTCTGAAGCCACCCGGAGAATCCCAGACACACCAACCAATGGCCGAGGCTTCTGAATCGGCTCTGCAGATCTCACCTGATGAGCAGGAAAGGTCCCCGTGGCTTACGCCTTTAATCAGCCAGTGCTAATCAACAGGATGACTAAAGGAGAAAGAGGGAACCGAACACAGATATTCCCTTCCTGGAGTCAGAACCCTCAGACTCTGATGGGACCTTAGAGGCTGCCACATTCAAACCCTGGCCTTCACATCATTGCTGCCGGTGTGGCCCTGACTCCTACCCTCCCCTGGCTCCTGTCTTTATGCAGATGAGGGAGGACAGGGCAGGGGTGCCACACTTCACGGTCCACACTGCTTTGGCTTCTGAGTTGATACCTTGACAGAGACCAGCCTCCTGGTGCTGAATTCTCCCAGCCCCCTGCCCCTCAGCCCTTAGAGCACTCCGAGTGCCCGGGGATGAGAGCGTCCACGAGTCAGCGGGAAGGGCCTTGTCTCTGCTCCCCTCCCTGTCAGAGACCCTTCCAGGTCTCAAGGCCTTTCCTCTGCTTTGTGATCAGACATCTACCCTTTTCCTCACGTGACGGAGGGGCCCCTCCCTAGCTTCCAAATGTGGAAAATTCTGGAGTGTTTGCCCAAAAGGAAAATGGCTGATTAGATAAGAGTTTGAATGGCCTGTCTTCTCTTCTGGGCACGTGCACAGTGTTCAGCACCTTCAGGGTCATCTCCACACACACAGAGACCAGGATGTGGTGAGTGTCAGAGAGAAGGGAGGGAGAGAAGCAGAGAGGTGGTGAGAGAAGAGGAGCAAAAAGAGGGGAATGACAAGAGGGAGCTGGAAATGGAGAGAAAGAGACTCTGTAACAGTTAAGAGATGACAGTTTGGGGGTCAGCTAAATGGTGGTCAAATCCCTGTTAAGTTCTTCTGTGCAGCACAGGGAACTCTATTCAATATCTTGTAGTAACCTATGATGAAAAAGAATATGAAAGCAAATGTATGTATGTATATGCGTGACTGAAATATTACGCCGTACACCAGAAACTGACATGACGTTGTAAACTGACTAGACTTCAATAAATAGATGAGTAAGTAAGCAAATGAATAAACAAACAGATAATGTGGATGCCTGGCCGGGGTGAGGGGGTGGAACCCCTGGTAAGATCTGCTGAGCCTGGAGAAGTTACTGGCTCTGCGTCTCAATTTCCTCACCGGCTTCGTGGATATTCTATTGCTTAGCTCATAGAGTGTCATGAGGTGATACATCAGCACGGTGCTCAAAATACAAGAACAGGAAAAACAGCAAGGAAAGTGATGGGAAAGAACAAGAATGGGAGCAGGAGAGAGAAGGAGAAAGTCGAAGGCGGAGAGACGTGCCTTACAAAGGAGCGGAGAGAAACAGATGGGAGAGCAGCAGGGGAGGAAGTCAGAGGGAAAGAGAAACGGAAGTAACAAAAGAAGCAACCAGAAGCAGGGAAACACATGTCATATTCTTCCAGGATTTGGGGCGAGTCTTCCAAACTCTCCTCAATCCCCGAAGACTTTTTCCTTGGTCTCTGACTCTGTCACTCATTCCTTGCAAGCCCCCCAGGAAGTATAAAAATAGTTTCAGGCAAAGAATGTGACACTTTGGTCTGGCTGCCAAGAGGCTTGACTGCCGACTCCCTCATGTGCGGCCCAAGGAACCCCACCTGGAGGAGGCAAAGCGCAGGACGAGGAAGGAACGTCGCAGAGGATCAGGGAGACGGACCGTCTTAGGAAGGACGCTTCACGGGGAGGGAA